CTCAGTGGTGGGGTGCCCCTGAGTTCAATCCCCAGTACCCACCCACCCTGCCCAAAAAACAAAAAAACAATCCGGAAGACAGAGACCAAAGTCCAGGTGTGTGTGTGTGGGGGGCTGCGTTCCTCCAAAGGCTCCAGGGAGGGGCCTTCCTGCCTCTTCCAACTTCCGGTGGCCGCTGGTGGCCCTGCGCTGTGGCCACAGCACTCCACCTCTGCCCACGCACTCTGCTCGGGTCCACCTAATCTCCTGCTCCTCTGATCAGGAGGAGTTAGGGTTGGATCTAGAGGCCCCCAGAATATCCCGGGTGACCTGCACAGAACCGACCTTCCTTCCTTCCTTCTCTCTCTCTCTCTCTCTCTCTCTCTCTTTTTCTTTCTTTCTTTCCCACAGTTGAACCCAGGGGTGCTTAACCACTGAGCCACATCCCCAGCCCTTTTTATTTTTTATTTTGAAATAGGGTCTTGCTAAGTTGTGTAGGGTGCTGCTACATCGCTGAGGCTGGCCTCAAACTTGCGATCCTCCTGCCTCAGCCTCCTGAGTCCCTGGGATCCCAAGTGTGCACCCAACTGTAAAGACTGATTCTAAACAAGGTCACGTTCACAGGCCCCAGGAATCAGGAGGTATCTTCAGAAGCCATTGCCACCTTACCACAGGGAGCAAAAGGCGCTTGCTTTGTCACCCAGGGGAATATTGGATCGCGATTCCTCAAAAACTATAATCCAATGTCGAGAAATATTTGCTAAGCCCCTGCGAAGTGGCACTTGTCTGCCCCCCAGCACCCAGCCCAGAGGGTGGCAGTACAAATAAGCCACCGACCAATGCAAACGGTACAGACAATGGTGCGCTGAGGAGATGACGTCTGAGCTGGCACCCCGAGGGTCACAGTGAGGCAGACACGTGTGAGGCAGCCAGAGTGACCGGTCCAGGCAGATGGACGCGGGGGAAAAGGTCTCGGCAGGCAGGACCGCAGCTGTGGCCGGGGCGGGGACACAGCCCAGGACACGCAGCTGGTGGGTGGAGCTGGGATCCCTGCCCTGGAGCAAGGGAAGCCACGGTGGGGTCAAGGCGGCGGCACGGCCGGAGCCCCATCTGGAGGACATTGATGGACTGGTGGTGGCGGGCGGTGGGCACCCCCTGTAGGGGCACCCAGACCAGCGCAGAGCGGAGCTCGGGGAGCCTGTCGGCCTGGACGGGGGGCGCCCGTGGGGAGCCCTCCTGGAGGGCGTCAAGGTCCCGCTGAGGGGCAGGTGGCGGCTGTGGAGAGGGACAGCAGGGCTCCGCAGGTCCCCGGTGGACCAGGAATGCCCCTTTCTGAAGCCAGGTCTAGGGACCTATGGGGACACAGATCCAGGGCCAGCAGGTCTGGTGGGCGGGCGCCGGGCGCCCTGGTCACCCTCCCAGGTGGGCTCCGGGGACAGGGCTAGGCTGGGAACCAGACTGGCCGCCACGGCACCAGGACCCTGCGTGTGCCCCAGGCTGTCCCCGAACAGGGCAGGGCATGGGCACACTGCTCGGGCCATCCACACCCCCGCCGTGACAACCCCAAAAGTCTAGACATCGCCAAGTGTCCCCCGGGGTCAGCATCCCCCCGTGGAGAACCGCTGACCTGAGGGAGGCAGAGCGCGTGGGGCTGGGGTGTTTCAGGGGCATCCGTGGGTGACAATTGTGGGTGACCACTGGGGGCTGGAGAAGTGTGTGTGGCCGCTGGCCAGCTGGCGCTGTGGGGCGGGGCAGGTGGCCTTCCTCTGGGCGCCGTGTGTTCGCCTCGGGCGGAGAGCGGGCGGTGGCAGGTGGAGCAGGGAGCCGACAGCTGGGTGGAGGCCTTCCAGGCTCGTCCATGACTGTCCAGGGAGACCTGACAGGTGGCCGTGCTGACCCGTGTCCCATGCTGAAGCCCTGAGCCCCCGTGGGGGAGACGGGGCTAGACGAGGTCACGAGGGAGGGCCACCAGGGAGCCTGCTGGTCCCCACCTCCCTCGTGGGGGACGGCCAGGTGCCCGACGGCAGCTGGGAGAGTCCTGTCAGGCCTCCCTGCCCAGCCTCCACCTTGGACTCGCCCCCAGAACCGCAGGAAATGAACCTGGGGAAGTCCGGCCTCCCGGGCTGCCTCCACACAGACCCAGGACGGGCCGCACAGAGGCCGTGTGGAGGGGGAGGCCCGGGAGAGGGACGGTCCATTCCTGGGGGCGCCAGATGCGAGGCTGCGGGTGGGGGAGAGAAACGGCCTTGGGCCCTGGCTGACAGCGCACAGCAGGTGGTCCACCTGACCCCCCACCTGGGGACCCCGAGAGCCACCCCGGCAGGGACGTCGTGACCAGCCCCCCTGGATGGTGACGTTTGGGCACTCTTCTGACCAGGTGGCCTTCCCTGGATGCTCCCCGGGAAAAGCCACCCTATAGGGTTGGTGACAGGTGTCAGGGCCCCTCCTCAGCTGAGGGAACTGCCATGTCTAGGGGGCCCAGGGCCTCAGTCTCTCCGTCCACAGAATGGGGGACAAGAAAGGGGGACTCGGGGGCTGGGGATGTGGCTCAAGCGGTAGCGCGCTCGCCTGGCATGCGTG